CCATGTGCAGGATTTAACACTTGTCCTTGTTAAACTTCAAGAGATTTGCACAGGCCCACTTCTTGAGCCTGTCAACATCCCTTCCCTCCAATGTGTTAACACCACACACACACAGTTTGGTGTCACTTGCATCCTTGCTGAGGGTGCTCTTGATCCTGCTGTTCATGTCACCGACAAAGATGTTAAACACTTCCATTCCCAATACTGTCTCCTGAGGACCACTACTGGTCACCGGTCTCCACTTGGACATTGAGCTGTTGATGCCAACTTTTTAAGTGCAACCATCCAGCCAATTTCACATAAGGACATCAAGAAATTTAATGCCTATTGAATTCAGTTTCAGCTTACTGAAAGAAGGGCTAAAAATGAAGGAAAGAAAAAAGAGTAAAACATAAATGAAAAATTGGTTTTGAAGGTTATCTTTATGATCAATTGTGTGCTCCATTTCACCTTGGGACCCTTTTCCAGGACTAATTTTAGCATGTCAGTTTAAGTTAAAGTAATTCAAAACACTCCCTATTTATATTCTTCTTTTAAATTATAATTACTTAAAAGTGATTTTCGTGGATGTTTTGGATAGAAATCAAAATAATATGTGTGTATGTGTGTGGTTGGTTGCCTGGTTGGTTGGCTGCCTGGTTGGTTTGTTAGATTGGTTGGTTATTTTGTGTTGTTTTGTTTTGAGGAGAAAAATGTGTATGTTTAATATTCAAATTTGCATCTTTCCTGATGTAATAGACTTCTGTCCCTGTCTAAGCTTTCCTGGGTACTTTTGGGATTGAATAGGAAATTTCCAAATGCTTCCACATTAAGATACCAGTACCATTTTTTTTTTTATCAGTGGAAGAAAATATTACTCAGGAAAACTCTCTTAGAAAAGTTATGTAGTTGCTATTTTGGATCAATTAGTTTTCTGAAGAACGATGTCATACTATCGTATTTTCTTACTTTTAAAATTTATTTATGTTTCTTTTCACCCAAAGAATATTTATTCTAAGATATGATCTGAAGAATGTAGCTCTTAAGTAGACATTTTTTGCTTACACTTACTGGAATATAATATGATTAATGGAAGAGTTGGATGGATTTTTAGCCCCTTTTTCTGAAGATTCTTTTGTGCATGCTCTTTACAGGTTGCATGTTGTCTGCTCTGGGGCTGGAGTTTGTAATGGTCTTCCATGAAAGCAACTTGTGATTTTGGAGAAAAACTGGATTATCCTAAATAATGTGCTGAGAGAGCAGCTACTCATTCTGAATGGGAGATTTAGTAACAAATTGCTGAGGTAAACCACCTATAAGCAAGAATTTATGTTTAGAGATTGCAGACATAACATTATAGGTACTGATATAATGTAATGGAACAAGATAAAGGTTAAACTAATCTAACACAATATAATAAGAATGACACTCTTACTTGGAAAGATTCAGATTGCCTAGTGGGTTAAATAGTACCTCCTTAGATATTTTGTTCCTCCTACAGCATTCATTCATCTAATAATTTTTAGTATTCTCCTTCTTTTGTCTTTTATTTGTTTCATATATTGCATTCATCTTTTATACACAAAGTCAATATTGTCCTTCACCAGACTCTGCTTTAAACTCCACCCTTGCTAATATAGGGGCAATTCTTTTGATTCAGACAACATTCTTCATGTACCAACTCCATTCAGTCTTTCACCAAATGACAATAGAATGACAATATTAGTAACAATAACAATAACAGCAACAACTACACTTCATATTGTATCCTCTTTATCAGATAAGTTTTATTGCTTAGTGTTGTTTGCTGAGTGCTGACAGACAACATGCACTGGGCTAACAAAAAGTGGGAAATCACTTTATTGCATATCTGTACAGCCACTTACATGTGATTTCTTTGCTGTAAAACACTCTTTTTATGCAACATCAACTGTTTGAATATTTTTCTACTATACCATTCAGTTTCCTGGTATAGTATGATGTGATCTATGTACTTATTTTCTCCCAGAAATGAGTGAATGCACTGAGCAGTAATCTGTTGATGCACTAAAGATATGTGATAGCTCAGTAAATATTACAGAGCTAAGTAACAACACAAGAGTGAGGAACATAGCAGAAGAATCTGCTGGTTCTGCAGAGAGGTGACATGTTAGCTTTAAAAAAATGACTGACACTTTTCATCATATTGCCACCAGCTTCAGTAACTATTGGACCAGAACTAGTGCCTAGATCTAGTCACTCCTAGTGGTATGGATACATTTTCTAATGTCCCTTTAGAAAGTTCATCAGTAGCTGTACAGATACACCTACTGATACTGGCAATCTTTTTATTTTTTTTTATTTTTATTTTTTTTTTCTCTTTATTAAGTGTTAGTGAAAGATTTTAGAAATATATAGCAACTAGTTTCTTTTTCACTATCCATTAATTTCATTTACCCACTTACTAATAAAACTGTTATTGTTATTAATTAATTAATTATAACAAAGAAGGCTTTCTTCTGATGTAAAACAAAATGCCTTTCTGTTTCTCTTAATCTGCAATTCTTCAAATCAACACTGAAGGGTAGATTCTTTTATCTCTCCTCCCCAAATATTAAAGTTGTTGCAGTGCCTCAGCTTATATGCCTTACTTCCTAGTGAATTAAAGCTTTCATTTTTCTTAATTTTACATGTCTGTAAAGAAATAGATGGCTCACAAATTCTATCCAAAAATACTGAATATTTCTTACAAACTAGGCAATTTCTTTCAAGATAGAAAAGTTTGAATGCAAGGTTATAACTGAAGTCCTCAGTTCAGAATTCTTAGCCTACACCTATATCACAAAATCACAGAGCAGCTTGGGTTGGAAGGGACTTTAAAGATCATCTAGTTCCACCCCCAAGCCGTGCCTTAGGCAGGGATGTCATCCACCAGGACCAGGTCCTTGTACAACCCAGTCTTGAACAACTCCATGGATGGGGCATCCACAATTTTTCTGGTGAACCAGTTTCAGTGCCTCACCATCCTCTGAGTGAAGAACTTCCTCCTAAATGTAGGTACACTGCCCTCTTCTTATTAAATAAAAGTTGGCATAGGAGGTCGTAGTTGTCCTAACACTGCCAAGGTGTGTCTTCTGATAATGGGGAAAATCCTTTGTGGTAGAAAATCTTTTTGTCTGAATAATGCCTTCTACATCTTTTTGCTCATCCTGCTTTACAAGTAGAGACCACTCTCAATCTAAAAAAGACATCTTAGAACAACCACCCAAATATTTCTATTTAAGTGGTTGTATTTTTCATAAAGTAATTAGTTATTGGGCTTCTGGCATACTTGTAGTCCTTTATCAAGTAGACAGGAACATCCAATGCATGTGTTCTGCTGTCTCAGCTATGCCTAGGCTCAGGCAGTTTTGGTCATGCCCACAGATAGATATTTGGGGCACCTTAGGAACTTTATTAACAAAATAATACACAGTGTGAGCTTTGATGATTTCATTTTGAATCTGATACACTCATGTCTTTGGAATTTTGATATCCTTTTGGTATTTAAGTGGTCATCATGAAAGCATCACATTATTTCCAGTTTCCAGACACATTATTTAGCCCATATTGCAGCAAAATGGCATGGCAATAAGATATATGTATATTACAAAATATAACATCTCTTTTTGGATGTTCTGAGGACCATCTGGCTAGAATTACACCCATAAATCCATGATAGTTTGGGCTAGAAATGGAGTGGCTGAATAAGCATTTTGAAAGAATAGTGAATCAAATGAAAAGACAACTGAAATAGTAATTAATATCAATGTCTCCTAAGGATGAAGAATGAAAGCAGAAGACAACTGGAAAAAAAAAAAAATATATATATACATATATATATGTATATATACATATGTCATGAATTTATGAATTACTAGCAAAAGGCAAAACTTAAGAGTAGGAAAAGAGAAGAGGTGATATGAGACATATGTTATAATACCACTATGATGACAAGGTGGGAAGAATATTGTAATGGAAAAATAGGTAAGTGGAGATGCATAATAAATGAGATACGGAAAGAATTTGAATAGTAATGGAATGCATATGTTAAAGAAACATGCTAGTTGGATAGCCAAGAAAGTCTGGTGGTGTGCATGGAGGTTGTGACCACTAAGAAGTGCTGTCTAGATGCTGGTGAAACAGAACTTATTATTGATTTAAACAGACAATGTACTAGATGTTTATTTATTTATTTATTTTAATTAGGAACTCTATTGTCCTTAAACATCAATAATAAAACATAAAAAATAGAAAATGTTAATAGTTAATGACTTTTCCAGTATGAGAAATGTAGAAATGAGAAATTACTCCAGTGTATTTAGTCTTGTGTTTACAAGACTAAAACATGTTCTAATAACTGACATGATTTCCATCTAGATCCAAACACTTACAAAATGTAATGAGTTTGAGATATGAATCCTCAAGTAGTAAATTTGCTTGTCAGCAAGATGTCAGCACAGTGCCAGCCCCCTGGATGGTACCTCTAGGACATGCATCTAAGTGAAAGCTCTATCCAAATAGAGCTTTGGAGAAGGATGTTGAGGACAAAGCTAGGAATGACTTTGCGGGGTGGACTAGGATGATTTCTGCATGTGGTCCCAGAGTGATAGACAAAATTCTCTAAAAAGACACTTCATATCACTACCTGGATGTAGACAGAGGCACCAATCAGGTAAGAAATTCAGATTTTTTCCTACAGAAATCCTGGTGTCAATGAACTACCTGTGTGGACAAAAATACTTGCTCAAAGGAAAAGGGAACTGTCGTGGTTTAACCCGGCCGGCAGCTAAACACCACGCAGCCGTTCGCTCACCCTCCCCCCCTCCCTCTCTGGGACGGGGGAGAGAAATGGAAAGTGAAGCCCGTAAGTTGAGATAAAGACAGTTTAATAAGACAGGAAAATAATAATAACAACAATAATAATAATAATAATACAATGGTGATAATAGGAAAGTAATAATAGTATGTACAAACAAGTGATGCACAATGCAATTGCTCACCACTCGCTGACCGATGCCCAGCCTAACCCCGAGCAGTCCGGCCCCCTCCCCCCGGCTAGCCACCCCTATATATTGTTTAGCATGACGTCAGATGGTATGGAGTACCCTTTGGCTAGTTTGGGTCACCTGTCCTGGGTCTGTCCCCTCCCAGCTCTTACTGCACCCCCAACCTGCCCGTTGGCAGGACAGAGCAAAAGTCTGAGATGTCCTTGGCTTAGTATAAGCACTGCTCTGCAACAACTAAAGCATCGGGGTGTTATCAGCACTCTTCTCATCCTAAGCCAAAACACAGCATTCCACCAGCTACTAGGAAGAAAATTAATTCTGTTCTAACTGAAACCAGGACAGGAACAAAATTTCCAAAGATAGAAACTTGGTCAGAAAAAAAGACTTTTAATGGCTATCCCAGCAAAACATCACAGGACAGAAAGCACCTTCGTCTTTTTAGGGCTGTGGCACAAATCTCACCTAAACTTGGATCATTACATGAATATGGCTAGTTACTCTAGTTCCCCTGTCAGAAGCAAATCTAAAAGCTTTTAAGGCATGATTTCATCCTAAGTAGACTTCTAAAACAGAAATAAATAAACTTGTTTCTTACATACATTACTATACATATTAAAAAATCATTTAATTTTCTTTTCAACAATTTTCATTCTGAAAATATGTTAAAAATAACACTACTGTCTCTTGATGATAAACAAATATTTCTAAATTATTTTAGTCTCTTTTAATTATAGTTCAAGAAAAAAAAAATCAAGCACAGTACATCTTGTGAATTACAAGAATGCCCAGACAAATTTATTTTATTTATTTATTTATTTTAGAGAAAAGAGCATGCTGACAGAAAACTGCCAAAGCAATTAATCCAAAGCTTATTTTATAAAGCTTATGTTTTCTAGTCACCTAGATCTAAGATGGAACACAAACATTTTTAAACATACATTCTGATCCACCATATAGAAGCAGCCAATTTGCAGTAAATCTCCCTCTAAAAGATTCAGTACCTTTCCTTTTTTGTCTGTGCAGTTACTGTTTTGTGGATAGATGCTTTTATTTCCCTGCTGATGTTTACGTACCTGTTCTGTAACTGTATTACAGTTTCATTGCTGTAATCCATTGACTTTAATGGACTTATTTCTTTAATAGAGTTATTCCTACACAAATATACTCTGTAAAGCCTGTACAATTTCTCTTCATCTATAATCTAAAGATATCTCTATAGTCATTGCACATGTTCAGAAAAAAAGGATTTGTGGGAGACAGAAGGAAATCATACTATATGCACATAGCAAACTAGAAGGCATGAATGGGTAATCATCTGTAAATCAGAATGACTTAGCTTGACTTAGCTGTAGGACGCTTGAGTCTACTCTACATTCACAGACACACTCTCTTTGCTTTGTACCCTTCTGGTATGCCAAAGTAGTCATAAACCTGGCAGGTGAAGCTGGGTTTATAACTATTTTGCATCACTGCACAGCAGTTGGAGCACTCTGGCACATCTGTCCCTTATCTGATGCATATTGAAGCAAGAAGCTTCACAGGAAAGTCTCAGACTTACATTGGGAAGACCAGACCCTCAGTTGACATAAATCTTCTGCTAGTGTAAATCATGAGTGCAGTGAAGCTAGACTAACTTACATATGACTCATATCAATTTCAGATCTAGCCTCAGATCCTGGTTTGTGAAATTATAAATAGAGATGATGTAGTGATGACAGTCAACAATAGAGTCTAGTTGGAAGATAACTCAAAAACAGTTGTTACTTGTAGCCATTATTTAACTGAATAATGACTACCCTCATGAGCTGCCAAGACAAGGTGATCTATGCCATGAAAAACAATAATGCATGGCATCACTAAAGGTTCCACTAAAAAAAAGTCATCCTTTCTTTATCTCCTTTTTATGATTTTTGTCAGCAATAGCTATAAAAACATCATTGGAGCCACACTTCATAGATATTCAGCAAAGAAATGCTATTCAAAGTTAAATTCCTGTGAGATGATTCTTGGCTTGGCACAGTGTTATGAAAGACTGTTTTGCAGGTGTTGTTAGTTTTGCTTTCATGTATGCTTTCATGTATTTTGTTGCTCTACTTACACCATAGTACTTACAGTGTTTATGAAATGTCTGACCTTTTTTATGGCTCACATTTAACATCTCCCTGATTCAGTTGTATAGTTGCATTTTTTTGGTGTTTTTTTTTTTTTTTTTTTTTTTTTTTTTATATATATACCCTCTTGATAAACAATATTTATTGATTCAGCTGCAAATTTTAGTGCCTCAAAATGTACAACTATAGCCTATGTACTGCAGTACATAGTTTGATGCTCCAATTAGATATTTTACAGATCCAGCTGCACATTTTGATGATCCAGTTGGATTCTTGATTTTCAGTAAAATTGGAAATCACACTGTGTTCTATGTTAATTAAAGTGATTACAATATTTTGATAATCAGTTTGAAGAAACTAACTCAAAAATTAAAAGGAAAACAAACCTAACCAACCAAGCCCTAAAAATAAACGTGGATTTTTTTCATAATATAATCTGGGTAGTACACCCAGAGTTTTCTTGGGTTAAGCAAATTTTCTTAGCCACAATGAAAATACAATGATAACAGAGTATTATTTTGTCACAAATGCGTCATCTAGATTCTGGCAGTCTTTCTAGTGTTCTGCTCTCTGCTAAATCTTTTGTAGAAAATTCCAGCTATCAGATGACTTTCAGTTCTTTCTTAACCACAGAAATTACAAGAACTATTTAAAATATTCAAGGTATATTAAAAGTTTCTCTTAAGCATTCCACTGATGGAGAAAATTCTTTTTCATGCTTTGGAATTCTACTATATTGGGATGTGTTGCACTACAACAGTGATCTAAGGTTTCTGTCTTAAGAACTGACACACCTTAGAAATTGAATATGTATTCACAGCTCACTTTTAACACCAGAAAATAACAATGTAACAGGGATTAAAAAAAATGCTTATAGTTCACATATAGACAATAAGTATTTCAGAGAGATATATAAATATAAAAGGAGGAATTAGATTAAATTCATCTTTGGGTAGTTTACAAGCATTTATGATCTTTGTCCATTATCTAGCCTACAGGAAGTTTGCCCAGCCCAAGGAGCAGTCACCCACACATTCTTATACAGTCCATTTGTCAGTTATGCTTTCCCAAAAAGCATGGCTAGATCAAAATGTGATTTGCTCTTTTAACCATGCAGAAGGTACAAGAAAGTGTACCCCAAAGAGTCCAGTGACATCCAAGTACAAACAGAATAAAAATGGTGACAATATCTCAATCACATATTTTTGTGTCTGTGAACAATTGCTTCTAGGTGACAACAGTGAAGCAGATTGTAAGTGCTTTAGTCTTCCCCATTTTCCACAAGTCATGCAACAACAAAACTGCAATTTGTACCTTGCTCTGACACTATTTCTCTTAGGAAGTCCATCCCTCTGTCATGTTAGTGACACTTCTGCTATTTTTAAGTACAGTGCAACTTATTTTGGATGTTGAGTATCAACATGTGTTATCACAGACATGATCCTTGCTTTGATCATACTTAAGAATGGACCAAGTATACCTATTTCAGCTCCAGTGAACAGTTTCTAAATAACAAGAAACAAAACTTTACATTCCTTCTCCATTTCTGAAATACATCATAACCTACAATAAACCTTTACTTCATTTTGCCTGTCAGGCTAGTGAAAATGTTTCTTAAACTAATCATAATCTTGCTATAACCCTAGAGATCCTGCAGAAGGCAGTTAAAGTAGAATGTATCCCTCTACGGACTCCTGATTTCAAAGAAGAGTTCCTTTAAGATACTTTTGGCAAAGGTTATCAGGCTGATTATTAAGAACAATACAGTGAAGTGGAATGCATAAGGTGCAGTCACTTATCTCATGATCTCCCTAAATGGATGAAATTCATCAACCTTTTCTTTAATTTTATTTTCTTAATAAAACTAACAAACCAAACCAAACAAACAAAAAATAAAACATTTCCTCCTTAACCTTAGTGCTAAAATTTTAACTGAATATTTCTGTCACTGTAGCTAATGAAATTCGTACAATTTTCAATATAACCACACCTAGTTGGCAGTCAGTTTTCTTACTTTGAAGGGTCATCTTATACCTTCTTACTATGTTGCTGTCAGTACTGGAGTTTCTATTTCTTTCACAACAATGACTATTATTGGTTCATCTGGGATTATGTCTCTTTTGATAAGAAATATCTGGCTCCCTCCACCTTAAACATACTCATAATTTAATGTGATTTCTGTTGTGCATTTGACTGGACAATCTGAAGTTTAGATTCATTTTTTTACCAACATAGGGCATTATGGCTCTAGAAACTTTGCTAATCCACACAAATTCTGGGTATTACATGACTTTGGAGATGAAAGCTGCTTGTATATGGTAAATTTTACATTTATTCTCTTTCTTTATGCTTACAGAAGTTTTCATTTTTTTTTTTTCCCTGATTTCTATTCCTGAAACCTATTTTCTATATGCTTATAGGTAAAACAGACTTAGTGTTTATTTCCTTAATTTTTGTTAGTTCCATTAACTCATTAACTTCTCTCTTTCATTTTTGTCACAGTACAGAAGTACCTATGGGCTGAAAGGTTTGGCAATGTGTTGTTGACCACTGTTTTTTTTTTTTTTTCTTTTTCTGTTTTTTTTTTTTTTTCCCTTTTTATCATATTGAAGTATATAATTAACAGATATTTTCCTAAAGTTTATTCCCCCATAGTTCTGGAAGTTTCATAGCTATTAGTACAATACCTGACTCATACTGAAGCTACTAAATATAGCATCTCTATGCAAACAGTGGGGAAAAAAAAAAAAAAGTTCATGTGGAAATAGGCACTGTAAACTTATAGGCCTCGTCCTTTCTGTCTGGAGGAGGTAATCTTCTACTGCCTTATGCTAATTCCACAGAGTTTCAGTAAGTGTTTCTTAGATATTAACCTTCTTTTAAGGGTTCTTATCATCAAAGATAGCCATTGCAGCTTTTGGG